TCACCCATGAGAGTCAGTATTGTAAGTAGAATTATGTCTCAGTCACCCATGAGAGTCAATATTGTAAGTAGAATTATGTCTCAGTCACCCATAAGAGTCAATATTGTGAGGAGAATTATGTCTCAGTCACCCATGAGAGTCAATATTGTAAGTAGAATTATGTCTCAGTCACCCATGAGAGTCAATATTGTGAGGAGAATTATGTCTCAGTCACCCATGAGAGTCAATATTGTAAGTAGAATTATGTCTCAGTCACCCATGGGAGTCAGAGGGTTCAGAGAAGAAGATAGACTGATATTAAGGGTGACAGGCACTTCAATGTTTTCACCTGCTCTGTTGAGAAGCTTTGAAAGAGTAACTGCTCACACTCTATTTTTTCTATGCTGATGACAGAGCATAGAAAGGTGTGAATTTGTGCCCAAAACTATATTAGTCTTTAAGGCTAAATGTTGAAGTTATATGCTGTCAGAGTTGACTCTATAGTGATCAGGGGTATTTAGTTTATACTGGACATGTGCATACATTGTAGGGGTTCTGATGTAGTGATGTTGAATCAAAACAAAAGTTTTGCTATTGAAATTAATCTGTTTCCATTTATCTGACTCCATGACTTCTCTCAGACAGAATATTACAGACTCTAAGCAAGTCTTGGGTGATAAATCTGTAATGGAGACCTTTATAAAGTTGGGATTAGTATCTGGGAGACTTTAGAGGGGTTGGGAGCCAGTTGTTTGACAACTCATTGAGCAAATGCATAAAACACATAGGGAATATTTGTTGTGCACACATGAATTGTTTTATCATTTTTGTTTCTCTAGCTGCACTTCAGAAATCGACTCTTGGCAATAAAATTCATCTTGAATTTGCAAATCATCAAAAATATTCCTTTTGACAGAGCAACAATGTATAGTTTCATCAGTAACCTTAAAAATGGCCTCTTCATACTTTCATTGATTCTCAAATTGACCCAAAATAAGTTAACCCTTTAACTCCAAGGAGTGACCAAAACAGAATGAGCAGGGGGGTATTAACCCTTTACACCCTAACATCAGCATGCATATTCTCCATACTGTCCTCTATACATTTCATCCTGTGCTGACAAGGAGAATTTTTTTAACAATCAAGCACTTGCTTAGTTGATGATCATTTAATTTATTCTCATGACCTAAATTTGTGATTTGAGGGTGATATTGTATGGAGAAATTAGATGCTGGTCACTCTTAAGGGTCAAAGTGTTAAGGGTGTTATTAAGATGTCAGGTGATTGATAAAGGTGTGAAAACAGCTGTCACTTAGCTGCTGACTATAATTTGGTTAATCTGCAGATTTCTTATTACTGCGTATGTTTACTGGTTGTTGTCAATAACAAATGGCATTAAATTGTGATTAGAACATTTGATTAAAGAGGTACAAGCTTCAGGTGATTGAAATTCCATGATGTTTTTACCACATTTGTGGCATCTTACAAAATTTTTAATTGAAAAGATACAGACATGGTAAAATGCAACCTTTTTATTAGATATGTTATACAACAATTAAAAAATATATGTTTCAAACTTTTTTCATTAGCCACTACTGTATTTGGCATTTTTTACCCAGTGGTTTAAAAATTTTTCCTCTTTGATCATTTGAGTTGCCAAGAACAAATTTTTTTTGTTAGCAATTAATTCAGTCAGAATAATTTTCATAGTGCTCCTAGAATCCAGTAAAATCTACATAAATTTTCTTGTGTGCACTGTTGGGTGATGCAGAAAGTTTTTACAGTGTCCCTTATTTTTCTTTTTTGAGAGTTAAGAGCCAATGATCACACAACAGATGGTTTATGGAGGTATAACTAAGTTGACAAACCGCATATTTTATACTCTCTCTGTTTTTAGTATCATGAAACAATCAGAGAAGCTTTGGATGCTGTGCAAGATGATGACATCATAATTGTACATAGTGGTGTGTATGATGAACAGCTGTCAATCAGCAAGCCTGTTGCAATCATTGGAGCAGGTACACCACAATGTTACTAAATTATTTCTAGAACCTTATTAAATGTTTCATATTTCCCTTAAGTGGTCTCTAAATTAATCTTTAACTTGCAATGAAAGTGTGTCATTAATTAAAGCGCCATCTCCGGTGGTCTCTACGTTGAATTTTAACTTGCAATGAAAAGTCTGTCATCAGTTAGAGCTGCATTTTAATTCATCATTTGAACTTCCCTCTGACTTGCCAATCCAAGACTGTTCTCTCTGATTACTTTTAGAGGGAATTTGCAGGCAGCCACTGTCAATGTAGGGAAAGGAAACATGCGTCTTGTGGGTTTCACACTGCCCTCCTCCCCTCCCCCCTTAGCTCCCCAGTTTGCCTATAAGGGGCCTCTCTAGACTAAGTGTGTGTCTTTCAACATCAACGATAAGGGATTTTCATGATAACTGTCACTTCTTGCTCCCCCCTTTCCATTTTGTTGTTTGATTCTTTGTCCATTTTTCCTCATTGGGTTCATCCAAACCTGCGTGTGACATCTTTAAGACCCAGGGTGTATAACTTGGATTTTGAGGGAAGGCATGAAGTGTCTTCCAAGGCATGGTTCTGAATTTGGATCGTGCTTGTCATGATAAATTTATGACAAATAACTGTTTTTCATGTCCACATCCGAAGACAGACACTTGACATCATGAAAAGTTAAGTTTCGGTTAAAATTTTAACCAAAAATGAGCAACTTGCTCACAGGATGGCCTTTTTTTATCTACAGCTAAGAGCGAAGATGGTCTTGTCGTCATTCAATGTGACTCTTCAACAGTTGTCAGTTTCAGTGCTGGTTCAGGCAATCCCTTAGGGCATGTCACCTTGAAGGTATGTACAGAAAACTGCTTCAAGGGGTAATGTCACAGCAGGGAACCTTAAGGAAAAATCGTCCAACGCGCGCTACTTTTAAAGAAACCATGTAAAGCTTTTTAAGTATAGATTGCGGAAGTAACACAATTTTTCAAAGTTTTTATTTTGGTAAAATCAAAGGCGCGAGCCTTTAAACTCAACTCTTTTGAGCGTTTATATCTGACGAACGCTGGCCAATTTTCATGAAAATCCATCAAATCTACACCCCTTGTTGATTCGTGTAAGTAGAGGTAACTCGCATAAAAAGAAACCGAATTTTTGGGCTCCTAAGACATTCACAGTTTTGGCCCCTCATTTAAGCGCGGTCATGCCGCCGACCAATGAAACACAACATCGAACCCCCTGGCAAGTCTCGTGAAAAAGGACTCCTTTGAAATTCGCGGGAAAGGTCATTTTTCGAAACTGGGAACACGAATTAAAATGAAATCCAAAATTCATAAAAAAAGCAGAAGGAAAAGTGCGCAAAGCAAGCTAGGAAAAAAGAAAAACGCAACTTGGATTTATTTGGCCCGGGCTCTCTCGCGACTTTTCTCATCTTGGCCGTTTGATAAAGACCCTTATTTCCTGACGTTTTGCAAAATTTGCAACAAATTCCCTTTTGTTGTGCAGTGCAAGACGCGATGTTAACAAAATGTGCAAATGGAGATCCCAGACGAAAGCCCGCGAAAAAAGGTCTTTTAGCCGTATCTCGCGTTCTTTATAAGATTTTACATTTTTTTGGCAAATCAAACTGAACTAGTTTTTCAAACTGAATAGCAAAGTAACAATTTTGAACATTTTGACCAGATTTTGTTGATAGTAACTTAAAAAAAATTAGCACAAAAATTGATAGCACTGCAGTACGCGTATTTCTTTACCCGCTTGAGACTAGTCGGGAGAGGTTTCTGGGGGTCTGGCTCTAAGAATGATCAGTGCCAGACCCCTTGCCGACCGCTCGCTGTTTCTTGGAAAACTTACCCCCCTTTTTTTATTTCGATGGACTTCCTTGTTCGCAGAATTGCCCAAACGGTGAATCTGAGGTGATCAGATCAGGATGTGTGGAGGTTGTTGATGACTGTGGTCCTACAATCTACAACTGCAAGCTTAATAGCCTTGCTAGTGGTAAGAGAGAGACATTAGACATCATATTTATAATTTTTGGTTTTTTAAAAGTTCAAACAAACTTGTGGTAATGTCAGTAATATGTGGGGATCAGTGGACAGTTGATTTTATTTTTGTTCATAGCTGGTGCCACAGTTTATGTACATGGAAGAGGAGCCAGACCCACTTTGTCAAAATGTTTTATCTCAGACTCAGAAAATGTTGGCATTTTCATCACAGATGATGCGCAGGTGAGAGATAATCCACAATTTACAGCAAATTCTTGAACCCCTTTCCTTGCTGAAAACTTATGGGGCCGGTTATTCACCCCGTCCCGTGGTCTAACCCAAGCCGCGGTTTTACGTAAGCAGTGGGCCTCAGGTCTTCTTTATAGGGGGGTTGATTAAATTAATTAAATGTCCTTCCACTATTATCTTTCGGCCCTCTTTTGGCTAAATTGAAGATAGCTAAGAACGCGGTTTTATAAAACAACGCCTGAACTTTGTTTGAATAACTAGTGCATGTAGTTTACATAAGTGTGGGTTATTAAAAGACATGAAATTTCGTACCAAAGATTTTTCGTTGTACAGCAGAGCAGAAAATGAATTGACAAAATCATTCATGACTTACCCGTTACGATATCGTATTGGAGACCCCCGCTAAAACATTTTGCCGAGTTTTCCTGATAGTTTGCTTGGTCTTCATCAATACTACTGAGTGGAAAAGACCCTGTAAGAGTAGGCACCAGGACCTTACTGCAATGACCCAGCCAAGCTGAGAACTCTGACAAAAATTGAAGTACTTGTATTTAAAGCTTTCATTAAAGAATCTAGGATTGCTCCTGGAGGCGCCTCAAGTAATTCTTAACCCTCGGCCGTTTTAAAAGGCCGCTTCTTGTTACACTACAGACCAATAAAATAATTCTTGTAATTGTAGGGCTACTATGAAGGAAATGATGTTTACAAAAACCGTATAGCTGGGTTTGAGATTCGGTCTCACGCCAATCCAACAGTCGTGGGATGTAAAATACACCACGGTATGACGGGTGGCATATACTGTCATGACGATGTAAGTACACTTTGTTTCATTTACATTGCAAATATATTTGTGTGTTTTAAAAACTTAATGGTGTATTTAACTAACAGGCACGTGGTGAATTCCTGGAAAATAAGATATATTCTAACACATACGCTGGAGTTTGGATCACATCACAGAGCAATCCAACCATAAAGTAAGAAAGATTTTCGTGTTCTTCTGTTTATTAAATTGCAAAATTTCTTCATGAGTCTCCTTGTTCGAAATCTCTCACGTCTTTTGGATTAAAAAAAAAACTTCGCGCGCAAAACTTGTCAATATTCAATGCCGGGGAAAATTTGTCCAAAGTAGGTGCGCACTCATCATGAGTACACCTTGAAGGAAGTGCCCTCTAATAGCGCTGCAGACCGCGCGTTTCTCCGCCCGCGGGAACAAATGAGACGAATATCGGTAAGGTTTGGCGGAGGTCCCTGTCCCTGGCAGACATCTAGTTGAGTTGCATTGCTCAAGGCTTCATATACTATCCCACGAGTGAAGAAACGCCCGTCCCGAAGCGCTTATGGTGAGCGCATGCTCACAGGCTGCACTTGGCATTACCTCAATTTCTTGAAAAGCAACTATTTAATCTGTGATTTTGCTATTTTTTGCAAACTCTGCACAAACTCCGGCGTGGTTAGCTCTTCGTTGTACAGTATGAGAGGTTTACCATTTCGCTTCTAGCTTCTCCTGGACAAGATTACGGTTCATTTTCAGCTTAAGTGCGAAGTAAACTTGCTAACTACTTCAATTTATTGTATTTTAGAAACAACGAGATCTACGATGGACAACAAGGAGGTGAGCGACACTTTTTGTATCTGAATTGCTTTGTTGTTGTCCTTACTGCTTTTTTTTCCGTGATCGCGCTCATCAATACACCATGAAATTGACATGATTATGAACATTGCGAAACTCGATATAAATGCACTGAAAACAGGTAAATAAAAGTTAATCACCATCATGTTTCTTTAGCGCCATTGTTGTGAACTGGGGACTTAATCAAGATTTCTCTTTAAATCCAAGCTACCTTTATTTGACTTGATTGATAATCTTACGAAGGCATTATGGTCTCGTTTGTCTCTTGTGGGAGTTTATGTATTCGGCGAAGGAAAAGGATTGATTGAAGGAAATAACATTCATGGTTTGTATTAATATTGTCTCTTAGTCCCTACTTCAAGTTTGTCAAACAGATTGTTAAAGTAATCATTTGTGCCAAGGTTTTCTCGATTGAGTACAACAAAAGCAAAATTAACCGCGACAGTCAATTGGACCTGAAAGAAAACATGGATCAATGTCAGTATCTGAGCAACTGCATACCTACCCCACCCCTCCCCTAACCCAACAGCAACCCTGACTTGTTATCAGTTGACTGTTTTTGGGTTAGGGGAGGGGTAAGTATGCTATCAGGTATTAACATTTATCCCGAAACAAGCTCAACTTACCTGAAGTGCCTGATAACGCGAGTGGTCGAGTCGTGATTTTGCGTCTCATTAGCTGAGGATGGCGTGAGTTTTAAGAGAGGTTGTCAGTAATTTTCGAGAATCCGGTGACAGAAGCAAAAATTCAACTTTTTTTTTGTTTGCTCCAAAAGACCCTTTTGGTGAATCGTTTTCAAGAAAAATATTCAAAAGTTCGAGCGAGTTTTAATTTTGGAAAAAAAATACGAAAGTTCGAAATCGGCCAAAACTTACCTAATTTGCATAATTTCTATTGGGCTTTTAGTGCATTTTCACAACGCTCATACGAGACAATGAAAAACTATCTTGGATTTATTTTTTCACAAGTTGTTTTTCATCCTTTGGAGTAGCTTTGCAACTATATTTCATCTCCAACTGAACTTTCTTTCGTTTGTAACCACCCGCGTAAAGTACACTATCTTTTCTATTCCGTTTGTACGCTGAATTTTACTATATTTCAGACGACCATAACATCGAGGGTATACAAATGTACATAAAATAAAAGAGCTCTTTTCCACGAGAAATTATTCGTGTTTATCATACAAAAATATTATTTTTGGCCCGTGAAAAGCGAGCGCGCCAGACCAAAATATATAGCGTGCATTTTCACGGAGTTAGGCCATTAATTGCTGTACTCCTACTGCAAATCGCACGCTATTGGGACAAAACTCGACGTGTTTGGTCTCTACTTCAGTTTTGATTCATTTAAATATATCAACTTTTTAACTTAAAAATTAACCTACCTTCATTGTTAAGTGAACAAACCACCGTTTCAGGTAAAGTTTTTGAGTTGATTTTTCTCGAGTGCTAAATAAACAAATCGCTGTTTACAAAGATACCAGCTCTGTCGACGTGTTTTTAGCTGAAATTGGCCTGTCGCATATGTTGTTCTTTAATTTACAATCTATCCCACTGGCATTACTTTAGAGTAAATTACATGTAACTATAAATGTTGTTGTAAATACGTGAGCGTGATTTAGATAAAATCTTCGCGCACATAAAATATTCGAAACATGTAGTTGTCCCATGAAAATACTCGCTTAATTGTGCATGAACCTTGTGTGTACATTCGGTGTTTTGCTCGGTTGCTTTTATAGATTTCTACCACTGTCACTGTGATTAAAATAGTATGTTTGTGTAGTTCACGTGTTTAGATACATTTTCTAATCAACTGTAGGTTGGAATTCTGTCGGTCTAGCTCATGTCAAGGAGATAATTCTTTGCTTTCTGAGAAAAGGTGGCCGGTTTTTGTGTTTTCCTAAGAGCCCATGCAAAGTCCATTTGGCTAGTTAGGGATGTTTCGTCAGAAGTTTACCTGAGGTCCGACCTTGAACGTAGCCACCCCCTTTAAAATGGCAAGCTGGTCTTCGTCCATTTTCTCTTGATCTTATCATAGGCGGATTTTTTTGTCAGCTTCACTGTGTTTGCCTTTGTTAGGGTGCTTTTGGATGGCAGCCAATGACTGAAACGTCTTGATACATCCTTCCTCTTAGCAAGAATATCTCGCTTTCTTGTTCTGTTTGTGACGGATTGGGTATAGTTCTCGCGATGGCCCGCGTTGAGGGATCTGTGCACGTTGCTGATAACCACCCACTTCTACGATTAGTTTGCTGAAGGTTTCTAATGTAATGAGCCTATTGAGACCCTGAGGTGCTCCAAACTGTGCCAGTTGGTCTGCGCTATGAACTTATCGCAGTTTTAAAGTCAGAGGGAGGATCGCCCACCTCTATTTATGTGAGCGTCTCTACAGTACCTGCGTATCCCTAGCAATCATATGATATAAAGTTCATTTCAGTCACAAATCATTAGTTAGGAAAACTGATGTTCAGATAAGCGCTCTTCTTGCCCTTCTTCCTTATTCGTTGCTGACTCTAGGATAGCAGTTACAGTACGCGTTCTATTAGGTTTACAGTCACCTTGCCACTAGGAAGACTCGCCACCAGCTTTGATTTCTTCTGCCATCTTCAGATTCACCTCTCTCTCAACTTTACGTCTCTGATTTTTATGACGAGGATACTGGCATTTACAAACCCGAAGGTCTGAATCTCATACCAAGTTGTGCACGATATTTGAGGCATATCGTGAAATCGCGGCCTTCGTAATCACCAAATAAGCCAATACGCGCTAGAATAAGCTTCTTCTCGGACGAAACGCATGTTTGGGATACATTGGCGCCTCTCAAATGTGTTTTTTTTATGCTGCACACCCACGAGTTTAGAGGTGTGAGGTGTTGCCGTCCCTGGCCAGCGCGAGAATTGAGAGCTTTCTAGACACTCGATTACACCTTTTGCTGTTCATTTACGCAAAATGTACATTCATTTACGTCAACAGTTGAAACTATAAGGCAAATATACATTCATTAGCACTTCCATGAAACTCATGAACGCGAACGAACTTTCAATAACGCTATTTCCATATGTATTAACATTCAATAGCATCAACGGATGAACAATTGCACCTTTGAACGCGATAATGATAATAAACAATCAAGTTGTAGACTAATGAATGTTTTGGTTTTGTACAAGTGCCCTATTTCCTGATTTTAGCAAACGCTACGATTTTCCCATCGATTTTTCGATTAAAAACACGTCGACAGAGCTGGTATCTTTGTAAACAGCGATTTGTTTATTTAGCACTCGAGAAAAATCAACTCAAAAACTTTACCTGAAACGGTGGTTTGTTCACTTACAATGAAGGTAGGTTAATTTTTAAGTTAAAAAGTTGATATATTTAAATGAATCAAAACTGAAGTAGAGACCAAACACGTCGAGTTTTGTCCCAATAGCGTGCGATTTGCAGTAGGAGTACAGCAAGAAAATGGCCTAACTCCGTGAAAATGCACACTGTATATTTTGGTCTGGCGCGCTCGCTTTTCACGGGCCAAAAATATGGTCGTCTGAAATATAGCAAAATTCAGCGTACAAACGGAATAGAAAAGATAGTGTACTTTACGCGGGTGGTTACAAACGAAAGAAAGTTCAGTTGGAGATGAAATATAGTTGCAAAGCTACTCCAAGGGATGCAAAACAACTTATGAAAAAATGAACCCAAGATAATTTTTCGTTGTCTTGTACGAGCGTTGTGAAAATGCACTAAAAGCCCAATAGAAATTATCCAAATTAGGTGCGTTTTTGCCAATTTCGAACTTTCGTATTTTTTTCCAAAATAAAAACTCGCTGGAACTTTTGAATATTATTTTTGAAAACGATTCACCAAGAGGGTCTTTTGGAGCAAATAAAAAAAAAGTTGAATTTTTGCTTCTGTCGCCGGATTCTCGAAAATTACTGACACCCTCTCTCTTAACGACCAATCACAGCGCGCAGCAAAGGGAAACTAGTGCAGTTTTGTAAAACTCTTGACACTCAATCCAAAGTTGTTCTTCAGGTAATTCACTGGCATGACAGATAGATACTACAGCAATTCATATGACGGATTTTGTGAAACTTCTTCGGTAACTTATCAAGATGTTCTTTGGTTTTTCCCCGTTCAGACAATGCACTGGCCGGAATCCAGATCAGAACTAAGAGTAATCCTATTGTTCGTTGCAACAGAATACACAGCGGACTTCACGGGGGAATTTATGTGGTAAGTATTTACAAAAGGCCAGTGCAGGAAACTATTGATATTGTATTACATGATGAGCTGAATTGTACTCGCTTTTTTATTGGGTCTTACTTATCACCTATTGGAGGATAGACGCAAAGATGACGTCACAATATACGGCATTTTGTTTGTTATCATATGAAAGAAATAGATTAAAGTTGCTGTGCTTCTGTACAGTAATAGATCACAGAAGATGTCAAGATGTGATGAGAACGTCCGTGGTACACTCGGCTGCGTCTCGTGTGCGACTTTGTTGTTCTTATTACAATTTGACGTCATCTGTGAGTTATGTTCTCAAAGAACTAATCAAAAATCATTCACAATTCTACGTTTGTGCCCTGTTCTGCGAGTTTGTCTTTTGCAATCCGCGTTAATCTTCTCCATCCTATGTTACACTTGTTCTTCTTGTTCTAGTATTGCCTTCTTCGGGTTTTTTTTTAATACCCAAACAGATATTTTGTATCGCTGCGTAGCCCTATCAAAATAACTCAACAAAGATCCCTCTTCACCCAGGATGTGCACACTTGCATTTCTGAACCACGAACAAAAAATGGTATTTTCTGCTTTTGTGTGCCGCTATGACAAAAACAGCGATTTTGGATCAGATTTACCGGCCTCGCTTACGATGAATGTCGTCGTTTTTATTCTCAGCACGAGGAAGGCACGGGACTCATAGAGGACAACGAAATCAACAATAACACCCTGGTTGGTGTGTGGATAACCACAGGTATAAACAATTAAACTGGAAAAGTACGCTGGGGGAGGACGGTGCTGCAAATTTTTTTTTGCGGGTGTGGGGGTGGTTACACCTGCGTCTTGCTGACTTAATAAAAGAAGTCATGGAAGAGTTTAGCAGGTAATTTAGTGTTAACAACTGAGTTGAAAACGTAAATTAGCCACCATAAAGAGTAAAAAAAACTGACGTTTCGAGTGTTAGCCCTTCGTCAGAGCGATTGGAGGAAATGTGGGTTGTGTGTGGATTTATATGCAGAAAGTGGAGCTACGCCATTGTTGGGAATATGGTGACGAGAAAACAGGAATAAATTAGTTGAATGAAAAGCGCTCATTGATTCCGTGGGGATTAAGGGTGCCGATTTGGAAGATAAATTTTTATTCTAATGTTTTACGGCTTTCCGAACTGCCTAGATGTAAGGAAAGGCTGCAAACTGCCATATGCTGTTTAGAATGATTAGGAAGATTAAAGTGTCTAGCGGCTGGTTTGGATGCGTCCTTGTCATTTCTTTCCACGTCGCGAAGGTGTTCTCGGAATCGGTCACCTAGTCGTCTTCCTGTTTCGCCGATGTAGAACTTATTGCAATAAGTGCAAGTTATGCAGTAAATAGCATTGGCGGAGGTACACGTAAAGTGATCAATGATCTTAATGGATCTCTTGGGTCCCGATATTTTCTCTACGTTATGAATGAAAGGACAAGTTTTGCATCGTGCACGAGCGCATTTAAAAGTTCCAGATTGGTCATTGGTTTGAAATGAACTCCTGACTAAAAAGTTGCCTATGTTTTTGTCACGTTTGAATGAAATAAGTTAGGGTTGCGAAAAGATAGTGCCAGTCTCTGAATCGTTTTGGAGTAATTTAAAATTTTTAAGAATGATAGATTTAACTGCGTGGTTGTGAGGGTGAAATGTAAGAGTAAATGGAATGCGGTCAATGTTTTCCTTCTCAGCCGTCTGTAGTGCTGACTGTCGATCGATTTGTTGGGCACGGTGGTGGCCCGCTTGAACGACAGAAACAGGATAGCCACGTTTATCGAAAAACTAGCACATTGTCTCTGATTTTTCGGAAAAATCAGAGTCGTCACTACATAAACGACGAAGTCTGAGAAACTGTGAAAAAGGTATGGAGTTCTTGACGTGTGATGGATACGAAGATGAATACAACAAGTAACTATGTGAATCTGTAGGTTTGTAGTAAACACTAGTAAGTAAGCCGTTGCCTTCAATTGAAATTTTGATGTCTAGAAAAGCCAAAGAAGTGTCGGAAATTTCCCAGGTATATTTAAGAGCCGGCTGAAAGGAATTGACGGCGGTTATAAATTGAGTGAGCTCCTCTTTGGTAGAGGAGGTAGCACTGATGCAATCGTCAATGTAGCGGCTGTAGAGTTCAGGTTTTGGGCCGTGGTATTGGCTAAAAATTGATATTCGATAAAACCTACAAAAAGATTGGCGTAGCTGGGTCCCATTTTAGTACCCATGGCCACGCCATTAGTTTGTTTGTAGTAGTTACCCCCGAATGAAAAGCAATTGAGTGTGAGCACTAGTTCGGCCAGACGGAGTAGTGTTTCAGAGCTAGGTTCCTTAAGAGTGCGTTGATCGAAAAAATGTTTGAGGGCCCGGAGACCTTCGTCATTGGGAATGACAGTGTAAAGAGATGTTATTTCCATGGTGAAAATAAGTTTGTTTTGGTCGAGGAAACTAAAGTCACGAAAAATTTCAAGTGCGTGTTGGCTGTTCTTAATGTAAGACGGTAAAGTTTTGACGATAGGCGCCATAATGTTGTCTAAATAGCTGGGTGGGAAACTGCAGGCAGAAACGATGGGTCGACCTGGGTTGTTAGGTTTGTGGATTTTAGGTAAAAAGTAAATACACGAAGTTCTAGGAGTGGTTATGATGAGATTTTTAGCAGTGGCCGGCAATTCTTGTTTAGCTAGAAGATCGTTAATCGTATTTTTGACAATGTTTTGGTTAATAAAAGTGAGATCTTTGTCGACTTTAGCATGAAAGGAGGTGTCAGAAAGTTGCCGCAAAGCTTCTTTTTGGTAGAGGTCGGCCCGCCAAACAACAACTGCGCCGCCTTTGTCGGCCGCCTTAATGACTATGTCTTTGCGTTTTTTAGACTTTTTAGTGCCGACCACTCTTCCGAAGAAAGATTGGAAAATTTGGTGTCACGATTGAATTTAAGTTTGTTGATATCGTGAAGACATTTTTTGAGGAAAAAATCTAAAGATGAGAACTGGCCTTCTGGGGGAGTCCATTAAGACTTTCGAATCTGGAGTGTTTCGAAAGTATCTTTGTTCGAGATGTTAGAATCATCCTCTTTGTCATGAAAAGAGGCTTTTAACTGAACGCGGCAAAGGAATTTTTCAACGTCTTGCTTAACTGAAAATTCGTCGTTTTTTTTGGATATGGGAACAAAATTTAAGCCCTTGCTGAGAACTGATTTTTCTGAATCGGAAAGTAGTAAATTTTCTGGAATGGTAACTATAGTTTTGAGGTTTTCAGGCGATGAGTCGTAAGTAATTTGGCCCTCCTTACATCTAGGCAGTTCGGAATGCCGTAAAACACTAGAACAAAAATTTTATCTTCCAAATCGGCACCCTTAATCCCCACGGAATCAATGAGCGCTTTTCATTTAACTAATTTTTTCCTGTTTTCTCGTCACCATATTCCCACCAATGGCGTAGCTCCACTTTCCACATATAAACCCACACACAACCCACAATTCCTCCAATCGCTCTGAAGAAGGGCTAACGCTCGAAACGTCAGCTTTTTTACTCTTTACAGTGGCTAATTTACGTTTTCAACCCAGTTGTTAACACTAAATTACCTGCTATACTCTCTCACCTATGCAGCACCACAGTTTCTTTAGAAACTTACCCCTTTATTTATGGAAGGGTTTAGTTCGGAATACCTAATTTTATCCTATAACTTGGTGCAGACTGGTAAATTTCAACTGGAAAGTATTCCTAAAACACTGCAATGAAAATAATGCCTACATGGAAACCATCTAAAGTCTCCATCACTGATGTTCTTCTTTGCTTTCCCTTGCGTATAGGAAGTACATCCACGCTCAGAAACAACAGGATCCACAGTGGAAAACAGGTAGAACTCGTCCACATTAGCTACGTACATTAACAGATTATAGTTTCCCGATGGTAATGCCATTAAATGTTTAAAAGACAACTTCATTAAAAATTGTTATTGTTTAGGATTTGCTTAATCTTGCTCTGAACAATTGAAATCAACATAAATAAGAGTTCTTTTCGAATTTTTAAATTAGATGAAACTGATATTGAATCTAAATGAATAGAAAGAATGCTTGTCTTGATGAACTCCCTTGGGAGCTTATGCACTCTCTCTATGTTTTAGCTTGCAGCTGAGCGTACCTAAACTGGACATAACAAGCAAACAATTCTGTGTAACGCTAACACTCTGCACCTTAAATAACCAAAGGACACGAAGAGACAAAATTCAGCCATAACCGTCAGAAATCGGCGCACATCCTAGGACTGGGGACAAACAACTGCACTTGAGGGTAAAGCACAAAGCTAAATCGAGTTTAACCGGTTTGGTCGGTTTGAAATTGTAAAACACGTCCCAAGTTTTAAACTAAGTAAACATAAAAAAGTGCACCGTAATTACTAAATGAAAGGCTTATCATAAATTAAAAAAGTATCAAATTAACTTGCCTACATTATCCTCTAAACTAATTTTATTTCTATTCGTTTATCAAACATGTATCGTTTGACTGACCTTACTATGATGGCTTCATAACTTTTTAACTTTTTCAATTTTAAAAAAATTGCTGAAGCTTGTTACAATCAAGTTACGTCATTTAAAATGAAACGTGAATTCTTAAATGTCCCGTAAATATTTTTAAAAGGCAAAGTGTTTAAAAGCAAACTTTTAAATCTTATTTTTTAAGAAATTTATTCAATTTAAGCTTTTCCCCGTGGTTGATAAACTCAGTTCTATATAAATTTATAATGCCAGTGTCACTAAGGTGATAAAATTGTCTTCTTCAAGTGTCCAGTCTGCCTTTGCAGCCGATGTATTACGTTCTGAGCCATTTCTTTTGACTGTTACTGTCGCTAATTTATTCCAAATAAACTGCTCCTTTGAAGTAGGTTGAGGTACCTTACCTTAAAGAAAAGATGAGCACATACTTGTTTGCAAATTCAAAATAAAACTATGCGAGTGTGGACGCTGACAAAACTTCAAGCAACTCAAACTATTGTTGCCTTTTTGAGTGTTGTGAAGTATATAGGCTACGATTCTCCATATATTAGTAAAGCGTCAAAACGTTATAGAAGGAAACCTTAGGCGAGTTTGTTAATGAAGGAGCATGCAGTGAGACAGCTGACATGACTCTTCAGTGGGGAGGAGCGGCAGAAACGGAGAAATGTGAGGAGTCAGGGATTCTCCTTCCCCCCCTCTGTTCCTCAGTTATTTGTCCCACTCATGCTTGGGAGCCTGACTTCGGGCAAAGCTCAATGAAGCAAGCTTCAAACGGCCTCACACGCCTGTGTGGCGCTTAAATCAACTGAGCCTTTAGACCAACTGCGAGATAAACCAGCTCTCACTTCGAACGAGCTTTCTATTTTACTAACTTCGTGTACTTATCATGAAATGTCTTGTGCACTTTCCTTGCTGTAGATCGGGCAGCAATCCCTGTATCAGAAGAAATAAGATTTGGGGAGGACAGAATGGTGGCGTTCAGGCCTACAACGGAGGTAGAGTATTTCAAAAAGTAACACACTATGCCTTGGCTCTGAGCAATTCATATCGCCGTCCTCTATTTGTTTATTTATTACGCCTTAAATCAGAAACAAACCAAGAAAGAACACTACTTCGCTTCAGTCGTTTGATTCCTTTCTTTATTCAAGGTCTTGGTCCGGAACGTGCCGTGTAGAGTTAGGGATTCATTAGGGCTGGAATTGTGTCCTTAAACCCTTTCGACATACCACGGCTAATTTAACTTTTTATATCTTAATTATTTCTCCCTCTTATGAGCAACACATTTCTTTGTAAACTTAGTGGTAGAAATGAAACTTTCAAGCTTCTCCGTTTTTCTATTCTCCTATCTTTGTACTGGACAATATGTTGTTCCAAGGACAAGTTAGTTTCGAGTCACTCCAGGGAAATGAACGGGTCAATCATTGTTGAAGAGAATGCCTGACCTGGGGACCGTTTCTCAAAAGTCCTGATAACTTAACGGCCCCGGAGCCATATTCTAAAATCAAAAGTTATTGAAATGGGAAGCAGGCTCTGGCAACCTAACCAGTCCATTTTGTTTCTTTGGCTGCTCGTTTTCTTGTATAATTCTCACAACTTTTCGAAACTTCCATTTTGAATATAAAAACAGAACAGCTTTAAGGGCCCGTTAGTTTAGTAGGGAGTTTAAGAAACGACGGCGGCGACGCCGTGAACAAAGTCGGTTAAAAAATGAACTTATATTTTGCCTGCGAATCTCGCGATACTATGAAGTCATTTGGTTTGTCAAAACTATTTCGAAACTGAATATGGAACACAGCGTTACATTAGAAATAGCAATTTAAAAAATTAGTCGTCGTCGTTCACGTTCTCAAGGCAACGCCAAGTTTGGTCTTTTCACGTTGATGTTTCGCAGAGGACTCAAAGAAATGTACAAAGATTTATAAAGCACGTGCACAGCCATTGTTCTGCTCATTAAACTTTTTTGTTAGGGACGTTGCTTTGGGCAGCCGTCACCACCAAATACAAGGATGTCAAATAGATCAGCAAATACAAAGCTGGTTTAAGGATGAGCTGCAGGATAGAATAGCTAATAAAGTAATGGCATGGCCAAATTCTAGACGGTTTAGTTTTCCTTCATGAAACAGAACACCCTAAACATGAATAGTTTAGCCAAATGATAAACGGTCTAGTTGCCTATGTCGAGTTGGAACATGAAATTGTGAAATGGACTGGCTCGATTACGAATAGCTTAGCACTCATTTGTAATACAGTACACAAACGGTGTAGCGTTACGTCAAATGGCACAGGGTAATGTCGAGTAGCACAGCGTACGCACAAACGGTGTAGCTTTGCGTGAAATAGCTCGGCGTAATGTCGAATGGCACAGCGTACATACAAACAATGTAGCGTTGCGTGGAATGGCTCAGCGTTATGTCGGATGGTACAGCGTGCACACAAATGGTGTAGAGTTGCGTGAAATAGCTCAGCGTAATGTAGAATGGTACAGCGTACATACAAATGGGGTAGCGTTATGTCGAATAACTTTGTAGAACATCAGACGCTCTATCTGAACATTAAATTGCTTAGCATTACACGAAATATTTCGATGTTGTGGCGAATCGTCGAGCTTGCTCGTGGCGTGACGTGTCTCGCCGAAACCACCAAAAAATACAAACCGCAAATGGAACAGTGATCTGCTGGGGCATGACGTCATCGAATGTGAAGACTGTCGCGAAATCATCAGATGGTGTAGTCGCTGTGTTGAAGGGTCTACACTTCGCCTTGCCGTAAAGCAGAACCAATTCAGTGAGTTTCTCCTTTTTTCCCTCGCCGATATTGCATTTATTCGTTGTCGTTCGTGAAAGCGTTAATTAAAATAGCAACGAGACTGGATTCTTTTACGGTTTGCCGGCCTCCCGGTCTACCACAGTTTGCATGCGTTGGTGAGCCTGAATGTTGATAGTATTAAGTAGTGAATGAAAGTGATCCTCGCAGTAATGTGCACTACTTAGGCAGTAGTGAAAATAAGGCCTGAAAAAATTCAGGCCTGTACGGGATTTGAACCCATGACCTCTGTGATACCGGTGCAGCGCTGTACCAACTGAGCTAACAAGCCAACTGGGAGCTGGTCATGATGTTGGTATGGTTACTACTGCCTAAGTAGTGCACATTACTGCGAGGATCACTTTCATTCACGTCTTTATCCGCAGTTCAAATATATGACTTTCATATATTCTTAACCAGTATTAAGTAGTGTTAAGACGTGCATTAAATGTTGATTGCCGAACTCTCTTTTCTTTTCTGACTCGCGCTTTCTTTTCAATGAGAGTTTAACTGCAAAGGCTCTTTGAAAATTGCAGGAATACGTGAGAAGTTGGATTTTGTGTGTGCCTTGGACGCCATGGTAAGTAAAACTGATATCCTTGATCTGTTTTGACATTTTTCAATCAAACATGTGGTGTTGGCCAAAGCAACCTTTTTTCCGAGTTGGTTTTATCGTCCGGCACACCAATTAAAGCATTCCGATATCACTCAGTTTGATTGAAAAATGTCAAAACAGATCAAGGATATCAGTTTTCTTACCATGGCGTCCAGGGCACACACAAAATTCAACTTCTCACGTACTCCTCCAATGTTCAAAAAGGCTTTAAAGTCGAACTCTCGTTGGAAAGTAAGCGTGAGTCAGAGAAAGAAAAGAGAGCTCGACAATCAACATTTAATGCACGTCATAACACTACTTAATATTACAAACATATTCAGGCCCACAAACGCGGGTAAACCGGGAGGCCGGCAACCGTGTTAGAATTCAGTCTCGTTGCTATTTTAATTGATGCTTTCATGAATGACAACGAATAAATGCAATATCGGCAGGGAAAAAAAGGAGAAACTTACCGAATTGGCTCTGCTTTACGGCAAAGCGAAGTGAAGACTATTCAATGCAGTAACTACGCCATGTGATGGTTTCGCGCCAGTCTTCACATTCGATGACGTCATGCCCCAGCAGATCGCTGTTCCATTTGCGGTTTGTATTTTGGTGGTTTCGGCGAGATAGCCTTGGCGGCCGTCACCACCAAAAATACAAGGATGTCAAATAGATCAGCACATACAAAGATGGCTTAAGGATCAGCTGCAGAAAAGTATAGCTAATAAAGGAATGGCATGGCCTTCACGTCACGCCACAAGCAAGCTCGACGATTCGCCACAACATCGAAATATTTCAAGTAATACAAAGCAATATAATGTTCAGATATAGCGTCTGATATTCTGTAAAGCTATTCGACCTAACGCTACACTATTTGTGTGTACGCTGTACTATTCGACATTACGCTAAGCCATTTGACGCAACTCTACACCATTTGTGTGTACGCTGTACCATTCGACATTACGCTGAGCCATTTGACGCAACGCTACACTGTTTCTATGTACGCTGTACTATTCTACATTACGCTTAGCTATTTCGCGCAACTCTACACCATTTGTGTGCACGCTGTACCATTCGACATTACGCTGTACTATTCGTCATTACGCTGAGCCATTTCACGCCACACTACATCGTTGGTACCTACGCTGTATCATTCGACATTACGCTGAACCATTTCACGCAACGCTACACCAAATGTGTGTACGCTGTAACATTCTACACTATGCCGAGCCATTTCACGAAACGCTACATTGTTTGTGCGTACGCTGTGCTACTCGACCTTACCCCGAGCCATTTGACGCAACGCAACACCGTTTGTGTACTGTATTGCAAATGAGTGCTAAGCTATTCGCAATTGAGCTAGTCCATTCTACAATTTCATTTTCCAACTCGACATGGGCAACTACACCGTTTATCATTTGGCTGAACTATCCATGTTTAGGGTGTTCTGTTTCACGAAGGAAAACTAAACCGTCTATAATTTGGCCATGCCATTCCTTCATAAGCTATGCTATGCTGCAGCCGATCCTTAGACCAGCTTTTTATTTGCTGATCTATTTGACATCCTTGTATTTTTGGTGGTGATGGCCGCCCATACGTTACCGTTACCGTAGTGGTTTTCTTAAACTCCCTAATCGGACCTTCGAGAAATAGGCCCCAGGAAGACCGCCATCTCGTGTCTACGAACAGTTGATGTAACTCGCTGTCACTGATCTACTATTATATTCCTTTTTAGGTGTTTAAGAAAATAATGACATCTTTAGAAATGCATTGACAGGTAAGCCTCGTAAGTTTGGATTGAATAACAGTTTATCCCCTGGCATAGCTCAGTCATCTTTACTCCCACGACAGAAATTTGAATATTATCTTTCGAACTTACTTAAAACAATAATTATTTTTCTGATATCGTGGTTGATCTGTTAGGGTTCTTGTCAATTAAATGTCTTAAAGCAAAGCCAAAGTGTTGAAAACGACCAATCAGAAAAAACGCAATGGAAGTAATGTAAAGAACCGATCAAATTTAAAAAGAACACAAGCAAACTTCTTAAAGGGCAAGGAAAAGCGGCTTTGCCAGTCGCGACTGGTGTTAGTTTTGTATTTGATAGAGTAAGAGGATGGCGGGAGTTTTGAAGACTAATGGCAGCGAAATGAAGAAAACATAATGCAGTGTTGGACTACTTACGATACTCAATTGAAAATTACTCTCACTCAAAATCTTTGATGAACCGTTTACAATAAGTCAGTCAGTATTTTTAGTAAACAATGTAATGATCCTGTGCACTTCTCTGTTGTTCAGGTGTACTTATCAGTACAGCAAGTTTTCCTGTGTTGAAAAGCAACCGTATTTTTGATGGCGGTGCCGCGGGAATTGAGATAACAAACAGTGCTGGTGAGCAACATAACTCCTTCACTATCATCACTCTTTATTGAATGATCTTTAGAAAATCTCACCTCCCTTTGCTCCACCCATGAATTTTTGTTATCACTTTTGTTTCTCTAGATCTGTGCACTTCAGAAATTGAAAAGAATTGACTCTTTTTAATAAAATTCATCTTGAATTTGTAAATCATCAAAAATATTCCTTTTGACAGAGTAACAATATATAGTTTCATCAGCAACCTTTAAAATGGCCTCTTCGTACTGTCATCGATTCTCTAATTGACCCGAAATGAATCAACTCCTGCTTGTTTAATCTCCTTATTATAGACTGAAAAAAAATCATATCATCCCTATTTTTTTCAGGAGGAGTTCTAGAAGAAAACGAAGTCTTCAATAACCGGTTTGACGGGATTTGTCTGGCTACTGGTGTCGAGCCCAAACTTAGAAGTAAGTATAATGTTTGACCTACCCCTACCCCACCCGTTTATCACTGTTACATCCTCTGGCACTAATGATTCTCTCCTCCCTCAGATAACAAAGTACACGGTAACAGAAGAGAAGTTGAGCGAGCTAAAGAGTCTTGTCGCTGTTTGTATCAAGTGTCTGGTAACACATGCTATCCGATGCACGATTTTTACAGGTGAGCATACTCAAAGGTGTTAAGCATGTGACTTTTCCTAACACTATCAATACATTATTCAGAAAACAGCTGATAAGATAGACAGACGTTTAAGGCGTAAGGTGTCATCTTGACAAAAAAGCAAATGCTCGTTAAAGAGATCAACAATAAAATGCATACGCGAAAATTACTTCATGGGTTGGAGTTTATTTATTTATTGATTTATTTTATGTTCCCTTTTCTATCCCTTACCGCCCTGCCGTTTATTTTATCTCTATCTCTTAGCGCCATGCCATTTATTTTATGTTCCCTTTTCTATCTCTTAGCGCTCTGCCGTTTTTTTTGAAACACCAATTTACCAATCTTAGCTGAGTTCAGAATATGTTACTCACCCTCCCCATCGTTTTACCTCTCAATCTTTTTCTGCTGGATAATGACTCAGTCATCAACTTAGTCCAGCGGTCTATCAGACAAGAAAGATTCCGTATTTAGTATAAATTTAGTCGATTACGTAGTTAGTAAACGGTCATAAACATTCCAAATCTATTTGAATTCACTGAGCTCTGTTACTTAGTCACCATAGTCTTGGGTGAACACAATCTCCAATGATATTGCACGGTCAGTTGCTGAGGTCTCATGTTAGAGATGCAGTGCTATCGATTACATATTTTACCTTTGACTGGTTTCTTAATCAGTCATCACTGCTTCCTTGATATTAACGTGTCTCTTAATGTATTTATACTGACACGTAGGTGCACCACTTGTGGTACGTTGGATGGCTACGCTATTTGCGTCACGAGAGACATGACGTGAAGTTTGTCAGACGTGACAGGTACAGTGTTACAACGCTTTAACCATTAGTTATACAGCTATTTCAATTTACGTTGTCGGATCAAAGCCTCAAGCCTACAAGACAAGACCGAAGGGGAATATGGGATCTTAATGAATAATTATCAGCAAAATTAGCAATGCCTCGTCCATACAGCGAAGATCTCTTAATTGTATTTTCAGCCTCCATGTCCATCTCGCGCCGACAACCCCGAAAGCCTAAAATTAATTCTAATCTACCCATACCGCCTTTCGGTCTTGTCCTGTACCCTTGAAGCTTTGATCCGACAACGTAAATTGAAATGGCTGATTTAATAGACAAGAACATCAGTGACACACCCGGCTGCACATTGTGTGCCCCTTTTTTATCTCTTTTTGACGTCGTCTGTGATCTATTACTGAACAAAAGCACAGCAACGTGAAAACTTTTTTGTTGTAAATTTGGATTTTGAAACTGTTATGCGGTGCTCAAATCAAAGTCAGTTCTCCTTTGCTTCTTGCTTGATAAGTTGTAGGTTGAAGAGACTGAAGCTTCATAGGTTTTGGTAAAGAAAAAAAGGCCCTTTTAGACTGCATAACACTTTAAAAATAGACGCCATGTTGGCGTGCATCTGTTTAGTTGTAGATCACAGGTGATACCAAAATGTGATCAGATATTCCAGTTACATTCGGACGTCTTCTGTGATCTATTACTGCACAGACCCATGACTACAGGGAATCTATTTGTTTTATATCATGGAAACGCAAAATGCTGTTAATGTTGACGTCATCTAGGCGTCTGACCTCCCATATATTATAAGAAAGAACCGATGGAAGTGCTGTATCATTCGGCTCATCGTATAATTTTTAGTGATGAGAATCCAGCAACGAGGATTAAATCTCCAGTCTCATACATTTTATACCGTGAACGAATTTTGAATTGAATTTATAACAACCAAATCAGCCACAGAATTCGTTTGGTGCATACTTCTCCTGGTTTTGTCGTTAATCTCTTTCCCCTCTCTCGTGTGATCTAACTCCTATCTAGGAAGGATTCTTTAAAGTTGGTTTACTGTCGATTATTTCGATGTTTCTGGCACTGATGCGCGTCTTGAAGTGGATGATCAGAAATGTTTTCATCCATATTTTTAGGTTTTTCTGCGATTGTGGAGGAGGTTCTAGTGGAGTTCTGTGTAAACTTGTCAGCAGTAATTGCTGGTCATCATCTCGGATGCCGGCAGCTCGAGTGGCCAGCGGTGGTCAAACAGAAACGTCTGCGCAAGAAGTTAGAGGGAATCAGGCTCTTTGCGTTTCTTGACGATTCGACGATGTTGAAGAATCTTATAGTGACATAAAGATTTAAGAGTAAGCAAGTTTTAAACTATTCTCAACACGTACGTACAAGGAGATTGTTGCTCTGCTTACCCTTCTCAGCATGCACATCTTCGTCGCGCTGATCTGTGAACTACAAATATGCAGCTTAGCTTTTTCAACTTTCTTATTTGATGTAAACTATATATATATATATATATATATATATATATATATATATATATATATATATATATATATATATACAGCGATACATAAGAGTCACAGAGAATCGATGCGTCCTCTTTAATTCTTTAACTTATGTATACTTAGCTCTGCTACCACAGCATTGAGCACTTTATGCCAAGATAGACTCTACCCCCACATTCATTTATATATACTGCTACATATAACTAGGAATGAAGCAGGAGGAGGATGGGGAGAAGCCTCTAGGCTATTTCTTTTATAATTTTTTTTTTGACATCGAATCAGCCACTTGCTCACAAGACCTTGCTCCCCTCCCTCCCCTCTCTCCCCTACCTCAGTAGTTACGCCTTGAATTTGCACGTTTTGTGAAAGATTCCATCAAGTGTGTTGAATCAAAATCGCTAAATCACAATAGTGAGGGGAAAACAGTTGTGTTTGAGAGCAGCTGAAGTCGCAGTCGAGTGATGCGCCTGTGCTATACTATGACCCCACAGTGCAACCAGGTTTTAAGACATTTCTCTTAAGGGGAATCTTGTTCGAAAAAAATATACATTTTATTCATCTCGTTTCAAAGGATTAATGAAGCGACTATTTATGACTCTAACATGAGCAGTATTTATTTTTACATGCGCTTCATCCGATAGTCAACAGCTCACATGAACTTCCACATGAACTGACGAGATTTTCAGGCATAGTCCCAGCTATAACGTAGGTGTATATAGTGATAGAATGATAAATTAAGAAATACTGAAGACAAAAATATGCTTTTAGAGAGAAAAGTATTTATTAATTTAAGAGATGAACTACATAGATAAGAAGGTAAATAAACTGTTCTACTGGAAATTTAAAGTCTCTTTGGTAGTTTTATGAAGTGAAGACTGTCGGGTGGACGCTTCTCAATGGGTCATACAGTGATATCAGTCATCTTTGTAATAATAATAATAACGGTTTATTTATATAGCGCTATTTCTATCGCTATCTAATAGCGCTTTACAATGACTGAATCAAACCTAGAATGCTTGAAAATCCCAATGGCAGGAGGCAGACCAGTTGGCTATTTACACAGCGCAGCGGAGGACTTGAACTTGGGGCAAGAACAAATCCAGTGAATGGCAGGGTGGAGGACTTGAAGCCGAGACCACCAGATTACAAGACCAGAATCCTAACCACTCGGCCACGCCGCCTCGAGTTACTTCGGCAATTGCCGCACTTTCTGGCCACTTTGGTTAACTGCTGCAGTAAATAATAGGATTTTGACCAATCAGAGCGTTCGTAGTATTTCAGTCATTTTATAAATTACAGTACTGAACACAATTTTTTTTCTTACAACTCTTTCGTGCAGACTCTTCAATACACATTGGCTTTTCGCAAACAAGCAAACAAAACATCAAGAAACACTGAAATGAATTGGGAAATGGTCTTCAGGCAATCGGTACTTTTTGAGTGCAAAGAACATTTTTATAAAGTGAGAAATGGTCCTTCTACGCACCATGTACTTAAGAGTTCAAGGAACACTTTCATAACTGTAAAAATGGCCTGTACGATGATGTGCGAAATACTAGCATAACAATAGAACTAGAGAGAATCCTGAGAGTCTGAGAGATACTGACGTAACCATTCGATAACCAGCGATTGAAAGAAATTCCGTAGAGTGCGAGACTGATACTGACGTAATAATCGATTGAAAGAGACTCCCATGAGTGCGAGGGATACTGACGTAACAATTGATTGAAAGAAATTCCTTGAAGAGCGAGGGGTACTGATGAAACAATCGATTAAAAGAGATTTCTTAGAGTGCGAGGAATACTGACGTAACAATTGATTGAAAGAGATTTCTTAGAGTGCGTGGGATACTGACGTAACATCGATTGAAAGAGATTCCTTAGAGAGCGAGAGATAGTGAAGTAACAATCGATCGAAAGACATATCTTAGAGTGGGTTTACGGTCAAGTCGCCCGAAAGTCATCTCGCCCAAAGTCATGTCGCCCGAAACCAAACTCATGTTGCTCGAAATTCATAGTCATGTCGCCCGAAATCCTAAGTCAGGTCGCCCGAAATGTTATCGAGTGTTTAAACTTGAAGAAAAGTAACATCTTAACTAAATCGCAAGGAATAAACTCATAAAATGTTGACTCGTGAAACTCAGGTTCTTCGCTGTCGTTTGATATCACGGAGATAGCAATCCTAAAATAGAGCACGAAAATAAAATTTAAAAAAATAGTAACATCAGGTACAGTATGGTTCTAACTGTTGTTGATATCTGTTGTTATCTGCATTCTGTTTCGAACGAAGGTTCACATCACCACGATTGGAACATTGGAAAACGCCGCCATCTTGAATACAGCACGTGCTCAAGAATCATCACATGGTTGCCAAGCAAGATTGTGACGTTGCGGTAAATTCAGACACGCATTAACACAAACATATTTACTGCTAGCAACTAAACCTAATTACACGCGAGGACGTGTGGGTTGTCCAAGTGACACCCGCACCTTGAAAACGAATTCAAAATGCCAACTTAAGGTAAGTTCGTTATAAAAAAAAATACTTGTTACATATCTGATTTTTTTTTTAATCGTGATAAAATAAACTATTCCTTTTAAACTAGAATAATAATAATAATATTATTACTTTCCTAACGCGAGCAAAAACTAAAGAAAACCAATCTGTACGAACTGGTCCATGTGCTACGTGAGTCGGTTCTTGTGCTCTCAGCAGCGGGGACATGGTCACTTGGGTTCGATGCGGCAAGAGAACATGCGACGCACAACCAATCTATTCTTCCTCTGATTATTGCCAAACGGTAGGTGGCTTGGTCGATACCAGTCCTTTAGATACGATGCTGCCGATGCTAGCTGATTATCTCGGAATGAAGTGGCTGTTATTAATTTACCCTCTTTATATATGGATAGCCGGATCAAAATTTACATGCGACCGGCCGAGGAAACAAGGAAGAACTGAGCAAGTCGCGATAATTTATACCGCGTCTGATCCTAAAGGGAATGATGCTAACACACTTTGTTCGCGTGGTTAACAATAAACAAAAAAAACCGCTGTAAAAATTTCAGGAAGTTTTTTATACGATAAATCAAACTAAGAGAACTTGATGTATTTTTCTGGTATGTGTGAAAAATTCCGAGAACTGAAAGTGTTCCGCTTATAATTACTAGAATCTGTACTATAGAATGAGCAGTTTAGTTCATAGCAACGAATAACGCTGAAATAAACAGCGATATTTGAGTCTGTTTTACTTCATGTTCGCATAAGTTAGCGGACGAAAACATTTTACGAGTTTATTCATTGCGATTGTTATAAAATTTCGGGTGACATGACTATGAATTTCGGGCAACATGACTCTGGTTCCGGGCGACATGACTTCGGGCGAAATGACTTTCGGGCGACTTGACCGGTTACCCTTAGAGTGCGAGTGATACCGACGTAACAATCAACTGAAAGAGATTCCTATTAATGCAAGTTATACTGACGTT